GCAAATCATACAAAATTAATGTATATCTCTTATCTCAATTCTTTTTTTTTTTCCTTTCTCACATATGACACTGATTCAATATAGAAAGCAAACAAACAATTATAACTAGTCAAACTCCAAAAAGGAGAAAGAAAATAAACTTTAATTTTGTGTTGAAAAAAAATTGGACTTATCTTAGAATAATTAGGTAAATAAGTAAACTGAGATTATCTTAAATCATGAAAAAAAAATTGGGTTAACTTTGTTTGGTATTAATTTAAATGGGTTAGGTGATAAGCTAAAATATAACAACGGATATTAAAATTACGTGCGAAATTTGAAACTAAAAATTAATTACATGCATATTGTTGTTTGAATCATGTAAAAATATTAACAGTTTAATAGTTATTTACTATAACTTACACCTCTATTATTTGTAACAAATGAAATATTAACAAAGATAAAAAAAAATATATTAACAAAGAATAGGCATATATTTTATTTTTACTCAAGAATAGAGTATCCAAATTAATGCAAGTAATTAAAAGCTTTGAACACGAGAATGGTAAAAAACAAAACAAAACCAAGAAAACCAGTTGTATCCACGTCAAGATTCTCAATCTCATCCGTACAATCCTTTCCCACAAATGCCAATTTCACCGTTAAAAAGAAAGAAAAACAAATCTAATTCACTAAGAAACTATAAGACACATGGCTAATCTACTGGTAATTAAATCAGTAAATAAATAGTGATGAAATGAGAAAAGAAAAGAAAAACAAAAATTGAAGAAGCTTTCTTTTCTTCTTTTGAATTTCATCATCTTTCACAAGCTTTAGTTACCATCCCGCCTGTTTCTGCATTTTGATCTTCTTCAAAGTTAACTTTTATTTTACTGTCTCCGAGTCATGCTTAGTAATTTGATGTTGGCCATTGTATAGTCTCCTCCTCTGTTTCAGATCTTCTCAAATGTTTTACGTGATCATTATTTTTTTAGTCTGAAAGTATTTTGATGTTGTTTGGATAATCAGATGACGAGGATCGGTGCAAGAGATCCTCGTGGCTCGCGGAAACCGATAAGAATCGTTGTGGTTGGTGAAAAAGGCACTGGAAAATCAAGTTTGATTAAGGCTGCATTAACTGGTTGTTTAGATCCTAACATCCCTCCTCTGTTACCTTATGTCAATTTACCTGCTGATTGTTTCTCTGACCGTATTCCCGCGACCATTATCGACACTTCTTCAAGGTAAATGTTTCTTCTGATTGTATAATTTGTTCTCTATAAGGTATGCAAAACAGAGGAAAATTGAATTCAATGATTGGAAATGGTTTACTATTGATCTCTTTGCTAATAAATTCTGCAGACCGGAAGATAAGGGAAAGGTAATTAAGGAAGTCAAGCAAGCAGATGGAATTGTTTTGACATGTGCATTCGATAGACCGGAAACTCTTGACCGTTTGAATGAATACTGGCTTCCTCTGATTCGACAATTAGAGGTTTTAATTTCTTCCTCTGATTCGAGAGTAGAATAGTTTAGAGTTTATGCTCATTCCCCTGAATTTTTTGTGACCTTACTTATTAAAAAAAGGATTTGAATTTTGCGCGGGAACTAGGATTTGTACCCGCGTAAAATCGCGCGGGAACACATTTTGAATTAATATACTATGTTTATAAGATTTGCATGATTGTTTTTTTCTAATTCCGTAAAAATTGTGTTGTATTTGAATAATAGTGATAGCAAGTTAATTTAGATGTTTGTAACATATGTAAACTCAACTAAATTATAACTAATACAAATTTGTCTTGTGACTCTTTTGTTAAACAGGTGAAAGTTCCTATGATAATGGCAGGTTATAAAGTTGACATGAATGAGGCTAATAATCAAATCAGCATTGAAGAAATAACGACACCAATAATGAAACAAAATCGAGAGATCGAGACATCTATCATGTGGTCTGCTCAGGATCTAGAACATATCATTTGGCTTGTGCGTGAAGATCTTAAAACATTAAGCATTACAAAAACATTCACATTGTGTCCACCCTTTTCTAAAAATGACAATCCTAATCAATCAAAAGTTTCTTGTGTAGGCTCGAATGGTTTTCAAGCATGCGTATCACGCGGTTAATCACCCTGGAGGACCTATATATGATCAAGATACCAATTCATTAAAACCTCGTTGTGTCGCTGCCTTGAAACGTATCTTTCTACTCTGTCAAATGGATGGTGTTCTCAGTGACGCCGCCTTAAATGAATTTCAGGTTTCCTCTTACTCAATCTTATGTTTCATAGTGTTCTTCTTGAGTTGAGTGCTTATATAAAAGTTTTTTTTTGTTTTAAACTAGATTCATTGCTTCGATGGACCATTGAAGCCTGAGAAAAGAAAAGAGATAAGAGAAGTTGTGCAACTACAGTGTCCACTAGGAGTTAATGAAGGAGGAATCACATGGGAAGGTTTCTTGTTTCTAAGCACACATATGGTGGAACAAGGACAAATCAAAACATTGTGGACTATACTTAGGAAATTCGGGTATAACAACGAGTTAAGACTCGCGGATCATATGATTCCTTATTCATCGTCCAAACCCGAGGCTGATCAGGTAAAAAAATCTACAGAAATGGAACTCATTGTGATTATTTGTTGCTGTTTCCTGATTTGACATTTCTTTTAATGTAATTGTGCAGAGTGTTGAGCTGACAAATGATGCTATTCGATTCTTAAGAAACTTCTATGTGCTTTGTGTTGAAGACAATGTAAATTCTTACTTTTTTCTAGTTTATGTCTTAGTGTATATATACTTGTGGGAGTTAAATTTCTTAAAAAGCATATTTTGAATTTCTCAGGGTAATAACTTGGGACCTTATGAGATTCAATATCTCTTTCAAACTGCACCTGAAAGGTAACATTTTTCCACTTTTGCGCGCGATTTGTGAATTACAATGTTTGCTTTGTGTAATGCCATTGATTTGAATCATTTATGAACAGTCCATGGAATGAAGCTCCTTATAAGAATGCCGCGGAGAAAAATAAGAATGGAGGAATATCTCTTGAATCTTTCCTCTCACTGGTAATCAAAACAATTCTATTAAACTGTCTTAAGAGTAACCAATTTCAAAAGTTTAAACTTTTTTCCTAAATCTTTTGAAAATTTTACTATATTTTGCAGTGGTCATTGATGACACTAATAGATCCAGCTAAGACTCTGGAATATTTGATTTACATTCGATTCTCAAATGATCCATCTTCCGCGATTCACGTGACTAGGAGGCGAGTTCTTGATCGCAAGGAGCAAAAATCCGAAAGAAAAGTTGTTCAGTGTTTTGTCTTTGGACCCAAGAATGCTGGCAAATCTGCATTACTCAATCGATTTATCGGAAGGTCTGTCCATTTTTTGAAACTCAGCACAAGAAATTTAATTTACAGACCAATTATTTACATTCTTGTGTGATTATATGAACTTAGGTCATACAATGATGACAACAACAATGGATCAACTGAGGAACGTTATGCTGTTAATACTGTTGACAAATCCAGAGTAAATGCAAATAGAAAGAAAACTCTGGTAATGAAAGAAATTCAAATCCTAGAAGAAAATGGAATCTCATTATCAAATGAAGCATCGGCTTCTTGCGATGTAGCGATCTTCGTTTTCGATTCTTCTGATGAGTCTTCGTGGAAGAAAGCCATCGATTTGCTTGCTGAGGTTGCAGCCACTAGCAAAGACTCGAGTTTCGAGTTTCCTTGTCTTATGGTTGCAGCAAAAACAGATCTTGATCCATTCCCAATGGCAATTCAAGAATCCACTAGAGTAATACTGATCTTTCTTCTTGATTTATAATCATCATAAGATTGTAATCATAACCTAAGATAACATGTCATGGTACTGATATTTGCAGGTTACTCAAGAGATAGGGATTGAAGCTCCAATACCAATCAGTTCCAAATTGGGAGAATTCGATAAATTATTCCAAATGATCTTAGCCGCGGCCGAGCATCCTCATATGTCTATTCCAAATATTGAGTCAAAGAAGGAAAGGAGATGCAAGCTAATCAATAGATCTCTAATGCCAGTTTCAAGTATGTTCATGAGTTCCTGGATTCCAAAATGTTTGGTCAATTGCTTCTGTATCTCATCATGATTTCTGCATTCCTAAAATGTGTGTTTAACAGTCGGGACAGCGTCTTTGATCATCGGGCTGGCTTCATTCCGTCTCTACGCTGCAAGAAAGCAGAGCTAATTCTTACCTGAAGAAAATATCAAAACCTGCAAATTCCATTCTAGTTCTTGAAGTTTAATGAAGAGAGAGACTGTTTTTATTGTTTATGCATAGATGCCTTGTCCAATAAGTAAAGAATTGGTTTCCATATATTTAAGATATTTTTATTGCTCTTATTTCCAAAGGATTACCAACAAAAAATTGCAGATTAACTTAATAACAAAGTGAAGAAAAACGTATCTAATCTAAACAATTTGTACCCACAAATAAACGAATTGTATAAGAAAAAAAAAACTATCTACAATGTCAATTTCACCCACTTGAACAAGAAACAGAATTAGAGCCATAGCTAATAGCTTCCAAGCTCGAATCCGTCATATTCGTCATCCATCTCCTTGGAACTCCTTCTGATTCTCCAGCCAGGTTATATGCATACGATCTCCACTTATTTTCACCATCGTCACAAGAACTCCTAACCCCTAACCGAATCGCCTTCTGTGTCCTTTCAAGAACAATGAGACTAGAGAAAGTCGAAAAGCTATTACCAACAAAAACATCCGCTCTTAGACACACCTCGTAATCTATAGCCGATTGAATCAAATACGAATACTTCCCGTAAATCTCTTCTTTAACCCCAAGCTTCTTCTTCTCAAACGGTATTAACCCGTCTCTCCAACCCGTTAGAACGGATGAATCTTCTTCTTTTTCTTCTAAGAGACTATCCGCTACCGCTAGGTAAAGAACCGTTGGAGTCTTTAAACCGGAAATGTTCCCTACTCTCTCCACAATCTCTCTTTTACTACTACAAATCTCTGAAACCTTTTTCCTTTGCTCTAGTTTATTACAATGTATCATCCAATCTATCTCTATCCTCATGTGAACCGCAACAAAAGGAACAGGACCTGGGATTTCGGTTTTGGATTCGAGTTTTGTTCTTGCCTCTTTTTCCCCTGCTTCTCTGATTTTCATCACAACTTTATCTGCTTCTCTTGCTATTTCATCAACCACCACCATACACTCAAAGACCTTAGCGTAGTCCTTTACCGGCCAATGATCGTGCCACAAGAATGGGTTTTTCCCTATGACACGGATCACTTCAGACTCATCGATCGATTCATTACGGGCGGATTGTTTCAATTGTTCCAAGTCTCTTTCCACTGTCCATCTTCTTCCACTACCTTTCTCAAGATCAAACACTTGTGTTCTGTTTCTAACATCCGAAAACCGAGCAAGCCGCACAAACCCGGAACAGAGCGAGTTGAATCTTTCGAACTGAAACACTTTATCGAAAGGAATCGGACGAAGCTTATCGACTTCCTTGTAGAATAAGGAAGCACTGAGACTAGGCAAGAGAAGCGTTCTGTTCATCGTTCTCGCCGTCAAGCAAGCTCTGGCAAAAGCAATCTTCTGATTGTTTAGTCCCCATACGATCTGAGGAACCTCGAGAAACTTATCGGTCCGGACTCCACCGGTTAAGGAGGAATCTGACATGTACCGGGCTCGACCTAATAAGCTACTACTGCTCAGAGCGTTTCTGGGAGAGTAAGAGAGCACCATAGCTCTGTAAAACAGAGCAATACCAACAAGAACAAGACATTTGCAAGCAACAGATTTTGAAAAAAGTCTCAGATTCTTGCTACTCAACGGAGAATTCATCCGAGAGAGAGTGACAAAACTGTTGCTAATCGTTTCTCCAACTCAGAGATCCAAAATTACAGACGAAATCAAAATCTGGGTCGAGTCGACAATGTCAGAAACCTGCATGAATCGAAAAAAAAAATCAAAGCTTTGATCAGAACCCAAAAGTAACATGCATGCTAAGAACCCTAAGAATCCAGAAAGCAAAAAGCTTGAATTTTTTTCAAAAATCTAAATAATCCCAGAAGATGACATGCAAATCGATTGCAGAAGAGAAAAAGAAGAAACCCTGAAGATGAAAGAAAACCAGATGGTACGAAAAAATCGAATCTCTTGTATCGATCGGAATTTAATCAAAATCGCATCTTTTTAGGTCGAAGTTGCAGGCGAAAATTAGAAACGAATAAAGCCTAAAAAGGAATTTTTAGAACGAACCAAACTAAAAACCCAGAGAAAGAGAGAGAGAAGACCAAATTTTACAAAAGGAAAAAAAATTGGCTTACCTTTTTATCAAAATCTGTTTTTGTTTTCACTAATCTGGCAATATCGTGAAGATGAGACAAATCAGACCCATAAACCCAGAATAGAAAAAAAGGGAAATCAATGATCAATTCGCTCAAATCACGGATTATGATTTTTTCTTTAATTTTGG